TTTTTTCTGGTCACTATTTGACGATTCATTTGTCCTATCCCGGCTTGACCTAATTTTATAAGCAAAAAGTGTCAAGTGAAACAGTAGAAAAAAAAGAGACAGAGAGAGTGCGTGTAAGAGAAGGAAAAAGGAAAAGAGAGAGTTTCCCTTTGTATAAGGATATTATTCCCAGTATCCATTTGCTTTTATACTTGTGCCTTGGCTAAGAATTTTTCAGTACGATTTTAGCTGCGTTCCTTATCTAACCATTGCATACGGTTTCTTTTTAAACGACTACGACAGAGGAAAACATTTTTTAAAAATTTTAGCGATTCAAAAAACAAAAAAAAAAGTGCTTAAAAAATATTTGCGAATTTTAAATAAATAAGAAAATTACAATAAGTCTAAGCTAGTGTGATAGAAGAATCTGCGCTGCTTTCTACATTAAATCTTAAAGCTTACCCAGATCAGATTCCGATTTCTTTAAAAAAATCTTTCAAATACTTCAAAAAATAATTGTTCTTTAAAAGTTATAAAATTTTAAAATCGCTGCAAATCAATTAATTTCTATAAGAACTGATTAATTCCTTTTAACAGAAAATGCTAAATGCTCCATATATATTAGTGTTGGTACATCGTTTTGTCATAGCGAGAGAGACATATCAAAAAATCGCAAAATGTGTTAAAGATATTCTTCTTAATTTGACGAACACAGCCCAACTCGTCTACTCGGTACTACGAATCATGTCATGTCCCAAAATCTAAAACAAAAAATTGATATGTTTATAGTCGACTCTTGAAGATTTAATTGGGAATCAGGTTTGCTTGTATTTACAGGAAATACTCTCATATCTTGCAAGCGTGATCTTTATTGCGTGAACATAGAAAAGTTATAATTCCAACAAGTAAGATAAGATAATTATATTCGGCTGCGACCGAGTCATTACCGCTTAATTCTGATCAATAATATGTAGAGTTTGTATGATCTCTGAACTTTCTCTCTCTGGGGGCTGCGAACGTTTTGTTAAAGCAACGATAATTTAATATACTATAATATTGAGTAAGCGTGACCGATTTCTGTTATTTTTGTAGAGGTACTGCAGGACCAACTAGGGCAGTTTTTATCGTTATATTTATTGTGATTTATATGGAAGAAGCAAAAAATTTAAATTTTATTTATTTTTGAAAGCGGAGATGGTCTCAGATTATGTTGTAGTATAGTCTTGACCTATATGACTATAATCTTTTGACCGATTTGGCCCATTTGCAATGCCAAAGTGCCTGCAAGAACTTCCCATGTTTCTGCTAAATTTGAAGCCGATAAATTCATTTTTGTCGTCAGGAGCATGTTTATAAATAAATAGTCCGCCGACTTGCATGCTTAAATTAATTAAGAATTCGATGTTGATAAAAAGCATATATAATTTATGGGATCTCTGAATCTCCCTTGCAAACAAATGGATATGCCCCTCACTTTCCGGCTAAACAATTGAGCCTTGGATAGAGCAAAATTTATTGCATTGTGAATTGTGTAATCGATTAATCCACATCTATCTTACGGCTTGTCTGTTACTATTACAATCCTGGCGATGAGACGCCCCGCATAGAGAAGCTCAGATTTGTTGAAAGATATTTTTTCGTTTCGAAAAGCCATGCTGTTATGGAGATTGGGAATCGATGAGAAAGGAAGAAAAGGTTTGGAAGATTCGAGCACAAGTACAGCCAAGATCAAGGAGCTTCGTCTTGTTCAGAGAGAAAGAAACTGATTCATATTTGCGATCAAGGCCAGTATAAGGGGGATGCTAAATAAAGGGAATCTTCGCAATCACATGAAAGCCTTCGTCTTCAATTTATGCATTATCGGGGGGAATTATCCAGGTGTTCGGCTTAACCTATAAAGGCATTTGTTCATAACACCAATACAGCCTCAAGACTTTGTTCCGGTCTCAAACTGTGTCTCGTTAATCCCTTCAAGGCGAGTTCGAGGGGCTCGTAGGTTTCTTTATTTTTTCTTGATAAAATTTTCGCATCAAGTTGAAAAATCAGTATTGAGTGGACTTGCTCTCAAATGTCGTAAATCGCGTAGTCATATAATACGTTCTTTCCAAGAGTAGTACACTTTTTTTATTTATCCTATATACTACCAAAATGTATGAGGTACGATCTAGGACATTTGACAAAGTCCTTATTTAACCTTGGCCATCGTAGTGTTTGCAAAATTGCGAATTGAACAGTAAAGGGGTTAACTCCGACATGTAAGTTTTCGGTGATTATTATTTGTTCACTTTAAAATTTTGTGGAAAGTAAAATAAAAAAATAATTAAGGTATCACAGGGTCAAGTTGCCCAGAAGATCCCATCTGCTTACAGTGGGTCTCCTAACTGATTGCTCGGAACGGCTCTTACGGGAATTTCGTGGTGATTGTGGTTGCTCACAAAATCGCAGGAACATTAAGTATTTGAGGTGTTAGAAAGGCCTTGTCCCCGTTAAAGGGAAGGACATTTCATACACATGTCCTTGATCATTTTTTATACCATACATCACTTGTAAGGGCGTATTAGGTTTGCGCCAGTGTGCGCAAAACGCAAAAGGACTTAAGACAGACCCTCTTTCTATTATACCGGTTGATTGAGAATCACTTTTTGCATCGATCTAGACATGTCTGTCCATCTGTCCTTTTCGTTTTCTTCTGTTTGACCTAGCGATCACAATTTATGACGTAATTTGATGAAATTTGGCACACCGGCTCGGAGTTTTGACTCCAGGACGAACGCTCCTGAACATGGCACGGATCGTACCACTTTATCGACAATTCGTCGTTATATGAATAATTGTAGGGTGGCGTAGAGCGTCCTATGTTCGGCATTGGTATACTATAGCTTTTATAGATATCTTAAATAGATATAAGCCTGTTAAAATAAGCAGACATAAAGAGGGAATAACCAAGGAAGTACACGCAAATTATTTTGTTTTTTAGTCATCACTTCTCCTCGCAGACTTTACATTTTAAGTAATAAAATGAAAACGTTGACTTCTTTCTTGGAAAATTGCAGAGCTTTTCCGCATAAGCAAATGTCATAGATTAGAAAAACGCCTGCCTTAAACTAACTGCAACTTCTAGAGGCGTTAAGAAAATATTTTAAAAGCTATCTGTATCGTAGTACAATTCAATTGTGATGTAATTCCGTATTTGTGTGTAAATAAATAGTAATCGTATTGCTTTAAATAAACGATACTGAGTCAGTTTGTTAAAATTACTTCATTGAAACGCTTGCATAATGTTGATGAAGCCGGCTTCTGAGACCATTTGAATAAAATAATTTCTCCTTAGAGCCTAAGGCCAATCCTCTTTTGAAAGCTTATTACCTACGTAAATACGTAGTTGTTGTTGTTGTTGTTTTTTTTTTTTTTTTCATTTAACCTTTAATGGCCTGTAAAGATACGTTCCAAAAGGTAAACATTTCTTAGAACAGTAAAACTGTAAAGTTATATAAAAAAACATATCATCGCTATAGTGATGAGTAAGTTAAAAATAATATTCTAAAAATCTCTACACGCCAACCGTAAACTGTAAAGTTGGCGCCACAATGTTGAAAAAAGTGCAGACATGAGCAAACAAATGTTTGCACAAAACGAGTAAGAGTATAAGTAAACTTTAATCCTTTCATAGAGAACTTTACAATATTATCTCTTTTGATTTTCAGAATTATTTTGTCTATAGAAAAGAATTTTTTTTTTTTCTTTGCTTCTCAAGTGTTTTATTACTGAAGTTAAAGTCAATGTCCTTTCTATTAATGTGGTATAAACTGCAGGAGTCATAGAGAGTGTAGAATGTTTTCTTGTTTTTCTCGTTTTTTTTTTTTTTTCTTCTTTTTCTTTTTTGGTTTCTTTTTTGTATATCTTAGTTCAGCTCTTAGAGAGAAAAAAATCTTTTATTCATAAGACTGTTGACCTGAATTTCTTTTGAATTTCTTATTTTGCTATTCTCCATATTTGTTTTCTTTCCTATTCATGTACGTACTTACATTTCAATTCAATTGTAACAAACAACACTTTTCAGCAGACTGTATGGTACTCTTTGTATCATTGAATATATTAAATAAAATTGTGTTAAAATATTTGATTTTACGACCTTTTTCTCTAATGAAAGAAATAACGGAAAAATTACATTACATTACAGATCGAAACTTTTGATAAATCGATTACTTATTCTTTAATTGCATGTTACTTTTCAGTTAGTATTTAGCGCTCGCTTTCATAGCGGCGAGCTTAAGTATTTGACGTGGTGGAGAATGTGTTTTATTTTTCTGATTTATTATAATTGTAGCATCGACACCTTTAATTGGTTTACTCCAATACATAGCAGAAGGTGCGATTAAAGCAAAGTGAAGTCTTTATTATAATGATTGAATCAGAGACCAGATAACATAGGCGTTCCTCGTATAACAGCGTTAACTCGTACAGTGAGATTTTAAATCGATTCGATATTAAGAACGATAGCCTAGTATCTATCCCTTTCTTAATAGACGCTGTCTTCTTTCATTGGACAACATCTCATTAGAGGAGGGAAATAATGTTGTAAACGATAAGTGTTCAGGCGCTCAATACCCCTATAACTTTGTGATCAGTTACTGATCCTAAGATAAGATAAGTAAGAGAATTAAATTCGGTCGGAACCGAATCTTTTACACAGACGGAGAGACAGAATTTGATGCTTATCAAGATTATATATACTTTGCGGTCTGTGGTCTGACTCTTCCTTTTGGGCGTTGCAAACATTTTGACAAAATACACGTCAATTTCCTTCCATTGAGTTTCAAAAACGATGAGATTTAAACATACACGCAAGGAAGATGCTATGCTATACTATGATTTTTACAAACGCATTATTTAAAATTGACATACATATAACAAACATATACAAAAAAAAAATTTAATGAAAAAATAAATATTGTCGAGAATAATACAAGGAAGTGCATTACTTCAAATATTACCATCCGCTGAAACCAACTCGTTTTCACTTTTTTTCGTGCAATGCGATGTCTTTGAAAGAACTCACAGATAGTAAAACATTGAATGAATGAATGCAATATGTAGCCCGCAGATTTTTGCTTCAATAATCTGATCATGAGTCGTAAAAATTTTTTTTTGCTGTTTCAAGAGCATGTGGACTAAGTTCATCCCGCCTGTCGATTCGTAGACTTTCAAAACTTCTGGCATTCATCTAAAAGCTTGATACATAGACCTTCGTTATCGCTTCCATTTTGCAAATTTTGTCATCTGGGCTTTTGTATTAAATGCGCATTCCGATTTTATAAGAATGATAGACAAGCTGTGCAGCGGAGAACACATTTCCATTTTCTCGGGTTTTTTTGTTTATCCGGCAATTAATCAGAATTTCTCATTGGTTGTGTCATCAAGATGTTAACACACGATCCGTTCGTCATTTCTTCACGCTTGCATTCTCGCGCCGGCTAACCAGAGAAACTAAATCGCTGCCTTATCGCGATTTTTACTAAACTCAAGTTTCATCGACGATTTGCACATTGCCAAAGAAATCATCCAATGAACTTGCGTCGTATTCGTCATTTGTTGCATAGATCACTATCTATTCTTTTCTTCTCTTTGCCGTCAGATAGACGCCGGGACATCCACTGTACCCATTTTTTGATTTAAGGTAAACCCTCACTAAGAAGCCCCTCCGTTACACTGTTCAAACTTTTTTCGCTTGAAGCATTGCACAGGCGTTCTTCATTCAGTCTATATTACCATATACCTCACATGATTCCTATAGCGGTGAACAAAGAAAAAAATGGCCCAAGACTCTTCCAAATACTGTTTTCAGATGAAAGCATGCACTTGGAAAGTCGTATAAAGATATGTTGATTATCTTGTTGCGTTGATGTTCTCTAGTCTTTTGCGGTTATTTTTCTGCAAGTGTATGGATCAGCTATTATTCGTGATCTGTGATCTTTGCAAAAATTAATATCTGAAACCTAAAACGAAACAAACAAAAACACGCTATAATGAGTCATTTTCCTTCATTAAATACCCTACACTACCCTATAGTTCTCGGTATACCGGCTATTCGAAGTAAGGCGATCGAAAAAGTGATCCGATCTGCATTATTTTCAATTGCGTTCATCCTTCACTCAAGGGACGCCAGTGTACTAAATTTCATCAAATTATGTTGAAAAGATGAGCTGTAAGACGAGCACAACAATACCGAACGGATAGACGGACAGACAAGCTTAAATCGACTCACAAGGCAATGCTGACTTGATTGGCGTAATAAAATGGTCAAATCTTCCTCGGCGTTACATACATCCGCACAAACTTAATGTACCCTTGCATGACAAGTGCTGTAGACTATAAACATGGCCATTGCTTTTTCTCTGATAACATTGTATAGGCAAAAGATATCGTAACCTTAAAAGTATATCGGATATAGAGTAAAAGTATCGGATATAGATGAGAAAACTTCATAGTTGTCGCCAAAGTGTTCCTCGCTATGCGCTGCCACACGCTATCGATCGAACCGATTCGATTTGAATCGATTGCGATATATATAGGTATTACGGGAATCGAACAAAATTCCAAAACAAGGATTTCGATATATTTCGAACTTATGCATAGACGCAATAATTTGTTCCAACCTATCGCGAATACACATGAATAGCTTTTAATATGAAATTCTATGGGGGTACGATGACGGAAAGTGATGTGAATGAATAAAAAAGGAAACAAGTCGATTCAGAGCTTTTTTTTTTATTTAAATTAAAAGAACGCATTCTCAGCATAACCTCATGCTATGCAAAAGTCACCTTTACTTCTGTCTGGCTATAGATGTTTGAACAGCTAGCTATTGAGTTAGTAGTGAGTTTAGTTTTTACGTAATATATAATGAATTAAAGAAGTGATTATCTTATCTTGTACTTATCTGGCAGTGTACTTTTTCTTTTCAACATCATGTATAATCCTTCATGCTACGCTTTATTACGGATTGGTAGGATTAGCATGTATAGGATGTGCAGCACTAATTACGCAAATTACAGTTTTATCTCTCTCTTCAAGATAATTATTTAAAAGCAATTTTATTTTAATTAAACGTTTCGTGTGTGAAAACGAAAAAAAAGAAGAGTGTGCTTAAATACTAAAAAAAAGGAAAAAAAAAAGTGCAAAGAATAAAGCAAAGAAAAGAAAAAACACCAACAGAATAAACATATATGAGAGACAATGTTTTCGTGTTGTCGCGTTAATCCTAAAAGTACAAAAGTCACAAAAAAATTGAAAAAAGCTGAAGATAATGCAAAAGCGAACGCGGAAAATGAAACGAAACAACAACAACAAGGCGATTTATCAACTAACAAAGATAAGAAAAAACTAATAATTCCCACGATTACTATTGAAAATGGCAAAGCACTTGATAATAACGCGCCAGCGATGGCTACATCGAACGATGCCGAGATTTTTGCCAATAACGAACTAAACGGTAATATAAAACAGTGTATTGATGAAACAGAGAAAAGGGAAGAGGAATTATTAGCAGAAACGGAAACGGAAACGGAAACTGAAACGGTTACGGTGCAACCGTCAACAATTGTCGCAAAAGTCGAAGAGCAGCCAACAAAAACGGAAGAGAAAACAAACGCAAATGGTATTAACTTAGTTTCTAGATAGATATTTTAAGGATTACATTTTTTTTTTTTTTTTCCTTTTTTGTTCTTTTCCACATTTCGCACAACGCATTGAGACGATTATTTTTCGCCTCTTCTTTCCATTCGATTTTATGAATGACTTATAATTGCTTTTTAATTTTCTTAATGCGAAACGCGCTGATTACAAATCTTTTTCAAATTTCTTTAATTTGTTTTGATTTTTCTTTAAATAGTTTATGTATATTTTATTTATTGGATAATGTCTGAAGTCAAATGTATAAAGTGGCTAAAGGTTGAAAAGAATTTACTATCAACTAAGTTTCTAATCTTCTAAGTTGATACTCTCTTCATCATCTTGTAGGGGTCATAAGAGAAGCAAAGAGACTTTTTCAAAGTATTCTGCTTAGATTGATTCAATCGGTTAAGATGTAAAACTAATAGCTAGCAGCAAGAGTGTAGCTTTTTGCTGAGAAGAAATCACAAAATTGATTGTTTTTCTTTTATCATTGAATTAATTTCCTTGGTATGTTCTTCTTCTTGGTTTTGAAAACAATAAAAATCTGAAAGTATATGTTCTTCAAAATCTGGTCCATATATATTTTGTAGGCAAAAGAACGCTTTATTCTTCGAGACAATGCAGATAATCCAAAAAATAGACCACTTCTTGATAGCCCAGTAAGAACTGAGCTAAGCCTTAACTACACACATAGTTCTCCATTTTCGTCTGATCAGGGATTACGTTCCATCCAGTTGGACGAAAGTGTTGCGTTGAACGTTGTGTGAAATTTTGAGTTGATTTAATCATGTCGGTCCGTGTGTAAGGTCTGTGTGGTTGGCACTCCCCTTGTTGCAAAAACGAACAGATCGACTTCAAATTTGGTAGAAAGACTGCAAGTAAACTGAACACAACAAAATTTTTGGATTTTTGATCGCTACTCGTAAATTATTAAAGTTAAAACCCCGAAATGTTTCACGTTTACTTAACGAAGCACTCTACTCTGTACGTACAAAAATGGAACAAATCGGCCATGACCACACAAAGTTACAAGTGATTAAATTTTATTATTTTCACTTTTTTCAAGTTTTGCGCTCATATCATAAGCCAAACAAGACAGAATGGATATAACGGTCACTTGATCTTCTATTGCAGGTCCGTTTAAAAGCATCCTTGCTTGCACAATTTGCCATTGCTTCTCTACAATAAGATGAAGAAGCTTATATTCCCTTAGCCCCAGAATATTGTTTGTATCATTTTTGTGGAACGTTGTTGCTCGATGTTTCAATGGGTGGGTAACGACTTGCTCGCCTTGCATATTGTTATACTTAAATTTAACTAAGCAACTGATCCATCCACTATATCTGGAAGTATTCATATTATTTATAAATGTTTGAACACTGTTGAATCATTGACCTTGTCAGAGTTTAAAATGGATCTTTAACAAACGGTGTTTGGAATTCTTCTCTTTGAAATAATTGTTTTCACTCACCATGCTCGCCCTGCTTAGCTGTTCCCCACAAGATTCATTTAGTATTAAAAGTATGAAGAAGGAATGGTAACCATGAACCAAGTTTCGATCGATTAGTACGCCTTGAACGTCAAAGTATACGTAATGGAGTAAACTTTACTTTTTGAGTTGACTGTACTCCGTATAATTTGGCTTCACTATCTACTAGAATGTACATAAACAATGGAACATAAAAGGCAATAACATGTAAAACCATGGAAATTAATTCATTTATCTGATACATATCGGACTCGAATTCATCCAGCCACTAGAAAAACAAACAAAGTTCAGTGCAGAAAATGTCTCGAAAGAGTCGTTTCCCTACAAATATTTATGGAAAGATTTCTTCCCGTTGCCTTTATTTCATTTGCTTACTGTTGCAATAATTTCTTGAGCTTTTCCGGCACAATTTTACTCGCAAGTAACCGGTTGATCAAAGTACGAACTTTCTACAATAACAAGCTCCTTATGCCAGCACTTTCGATAGTTGTTTACCTATTAGTTGCCCAATAACCGCTTATTTGCTAATAAAAATGAAAACTTTTCCAAACGCCTATAGTTCGCTTAATTACCGTCTTTTTCTTGTTTGTCATTAAATGCGAACCACATTTTCGGACGAAGAAGTAATTTTTTAGAATAAACCGGATAATGCATGCTCTGGTATAGTTTAAGCCGTGCACGGAGATAAGCTAAAGTACGTTATCGTTTGTTTAGCTCTTCAACGCGATTCTATAGAAGCGACCCTAGTTAGATATGAGTCCCGCACAGTGTACCAGGAAATTGATTTCCCAATATTATATGTCACTTAACTAAGACTACGAATTTAACTTTGATTCTCTTTCTTGATTGGAAGCTTTTTTTTTTTTTCCTCTTTAGTTTTTGTGCTGAAAACGTTCCTTGACTTTCCATCTCCTTTCTTCGTTCTTATCATTTTTTTTGAAAATATGAAATATGTTTTACTCGGCCCATATGTTTTATTCCCAATTAACTTTACAGTCATAAATGCAATTGAATCGAATGCGATACAAAATGCTTTCACTACATCGGAACAACAACCACAACAACAGCAAGAACAAGAACAATCAGAACGGCCGCAGCAACTAGATTCAATAACCTCAACTAGTAACAATAATAATAATAACAGCAAAGATGAGACGATCCGAACGACTACATCGAATACTATTTCTAGAGATAGTGTCAGTGATTCTAATACTCTAATTAGTCAAGTTAATGCAACAACAACAACAACAACGACAGCAACGGAAAGCTCAGATTCGACAAATTCCTCTACTGAAGAAGAAGGTGTTAATAATAATTCCGATAGTTTAAATAAAACGGATAACATTGATGAGAAAACGGAGAATAAACCAAAAAGTTGCCTTTCACGGCACAACTCGGGTCATATATCGATAAAGAAACGCGTTAATATAAGTACGCATGCTGAAATAATAGAACCGGATCCCTTGATGCCCATATTATTGCACTCGGCATCTTTAGGCGATGACGAAGATGATGTATTTTCGGATTCGATGCCACCACCCAAGCGGGATAGTATGTGTGCTCCGTATATCGAACGTTTGGCCGATGATGATGATCTAATTGCGGAATCCCTGGCCTATTGCCATGGCTTACCCGAATGGTTCAATAATGAAAGGATTAACGATGTGTAATATATTTTTATAATCGTATCTATACCACACTTACTTACTCAGTTTCCTTTTATACTATGATTTAGAAAGAAAAAAAAAAAAAAAAGAAGAAAAATTTGATTTTTCTCAACCTGCATTAACCGGTTTTTTTCTTAACTTTATACAATCAGTGGCTGTTTAGAACCACCTGTTACACCAGTTGGTCGCGATGAGCTTGAATTGAAACGTCAGCGTCTATATGAGGATTTATTACGTGCAGCTCATGCAGCTGTTGAGCATAGTGCTCGTTTCTCAACATTCGCTTATAATGGTTCATCCGCTGCCCCACCGCCGCCGCCTAGTAAACGTGCGGGAGGTGATTATTTTAAAAATTTGTAATAAAAAAAATTTCTTTTCTTTTTTGTTGTTTCCCTTGATTTAATTTTGTGAAAACGAAAAAATGTTTACGCTCGCTCATGCACGTATTTTTCAAAAAATATTTTTTTTTTTTTTTTTTTTTTTTTTTTGCTCGCATTAATTTTTCTCGTTTAATAAAACAAACTAAAAACCGCAATTATTATTGCTTTTCCATCAAAAATTTCCCATTGAATGGATTTTTCAATGGGTTTCTTTTTCTCTCCTGCAATCATATCATATATGTAACTTAGTGTATAAGATTATTCGCTTCTGCTTATGCTTAAGCGAATAATTTATGATCTAGAATGAATATCGAATGATCGTTATCGCATAGGTAGACCAAGTTGCATTGTGTTTTTTAATTATTGCATGGTACTATTTTTCTAACTTAGTAAGCTTTCAGTCAGAGCAGAGCATTAAATCCCTTAAGAAAATATTTCAAAATTTGAAAATTTTCTTTATAAGGGATTATGCTGGTTATCTTATTATACCCATCACCAAAGCGTGAGGACAACGCCCAGAAGAAAGATTCAGAGGCACCACAAAGTATATATATTTTTAATCAGTACCAAATTCTTAATCGATTTAAGCATGTCCGTCTTTCTGTCTATTGTGAACATTCTTGTGACCGCAAAAATGAACCGATTAACTTGAAATTTGGCAGAAGCTTTGGAAATTCTTGCACACAGGTTAGCTACTCAAATGAAGTCAAATCGGTTGAAGGACACGCCTACAGTACTGTCTGACCTGAGGACACCTATGCTAAGGAATAGAAAATTGGTTTTTTGTTCATTACTCATACAGATAAATCTACAAAAATTAGAACGCATTTGCCGCTGCCCTTTTGCAACAATGAAAAAAGTTGGCCACATCTACTCAATCTCATATTTTCATTGCTTTTTTCAAAACTTTTATAACGCACAGAAGCAATATTCAAAAACATCATAATAGTATATAAAGTCTTGGTCAGTTTCAAATTCAGAATGCATCTAAACCATTAGTCCATCTGTGGTAAACAGTCTCCCGTTCGCAAAAATGATAATCTGAATTTGCAAAAGAATTTGAAAACAACCCAAATTTTCGAAGAACACGTCTGCAACATCGACAGGTCGATATAACAAAAATTGTCCATACTTTTGCTTTCCGTGTTTTTTGTTTGTTACTCATTCACAAAGTACAACACATACATGATGTAAATTTCCCACTTCTATTCTAAAGATAGACGAAATCAACGGTACCCATCCAATGTTATAGAGGATGGAAATTTAGTTCTTTTTCTTTTTTTTTTAGTCGATGATGGGTATAAAAGATTCGGCCATGACCGAATATAATTTTCTTACTTGTTTATTTTTTCTTTCTTATGTCATTAACAAATATTCAAATGATTTCCACAAACATTTTTAAAATGTTTCATTTTTATTGTTAGCAAAGAAAAGCGAAGTGCCTAACGGAATCTTTATAAGCTTTATGTGAGCAGCCGAGTTAGATAAAAACGAACTTGAAGAATTAAATACTTTTTTTTAGAAATACATTTTTTTATGCTTTTCAACACCTGAAAATGGAATTTGCTCTTATGTGCTACGTATATTATTAATTACCTACGGCTAACAAAGTCGATGACGAAGTTACAGAGGGGAAAAAAGTGGCTTTACATTGACTACAAAAACTAGTGAATGTTTCATGATCCGAAAATCCCTCTATATATATATATATATCTCGACTGTGCAATTCGCATGTGTTCCACTCTTCTATGGGAAGTACGATTCCATTCTTCAATCTTTCACAGATTATTGGCAAATTAATTATCTAAAAATCCCCATTTTTGGGATTTTAACGGCAAAATGAACAAGTGAAAGTATGACGATCGGGCATGGCCGACTAGTGTAAGTGCTTTACGTCATTCCGTCTGATGCAGTTCTTCATTATCTTCCTAATAAAATGCCAAAAAACTTGCCCAAGTACCCATGGATGCTCCCATGAGGGCGTGGGCCAACCACGGTGGCTCACTGCTTTTGTAAAATTAATTTTCATATCAAAGATTCTATCAGCCTTCATCTATTTTCGTCGTAAAGCACTGAAAAATAATACTTTATTGCTGTGTAAAAGCTTAGATTTCATGGGAAATGCCTAATAGGCCTTCATGTCCCGAATTTTGCGCAGTTAGTGACTTTGTGAAATTAATATTATAAAACAAATTTTCCATATAAAAACTTTTGCCAAAGTAGGTCTATCCAATCCAAATTATTAAGTGATTTCTTACGACATATATTAAAGATCACAGGGGAATTGGTTGTAAAAATGGCTCAATCCAATTCATTTTTAATAGAGTTCGTCCTTGAAACGAAATTTCAAAAATTTGTTAAAATAACTTGAATAACCTACAGGTTAAGCACAAAAATGCAAGTTAACTAAACGCTTATGAAATAATTGGAAGGATGGATTTCAAAACGACAAGTGGGTAAACAAACTGAAACCAGCTCAGGAAATGATTCTGAAATTCGTAGATGCGGGCTTATTTCAAATACTTCTTCTGGATCTTGCATACCTCCGCACAAGGTTGACACACCCTTTATAAGGTAGAAAAATCAATGAGCTGCGATTCCTCAATATTAGGAATATCAGAAGAGAAGTTAGATTCTGCGAAAATATCCATCCATCATAAGCATATATACGATATTTGATGCTAATAAAGTGAAGTGAATTCATTCACTCGATGTATTGATTACATATCGTATCGTGCATACATCGCATATGTTTCGGTGCCACTTTCTAGATAATTCCTAATTATTGAGAATAAATCTTACGCCAGATCCCGTTTACTTTCAAACTTTATTCGAATATTGCATTAAGAAAAGAGTTACCAAAAAACTTACAGCTTTAAGCCAACAAATCTAAGATTTAAGGAAAACTTTTATAGATCCGGTCCTAATCGACTACAGTTGATGTTTCCTTACTTTGCAAAGTATTTTTTGGAACAATTGATAAAGGAAAAGCATCCGTAATGCATATCGGTTGTATTATTTCATATGTAAGTCCTAAGAAGTACAGTACATATCGGCATTTTTTTTTTATATCCTTAATCTACATGAGTCAAGTATTTGGTCTATTTGTTGTGGGACACCTGAAAGCAGTAAAAATTTGTCCAACAAAATGATTTTCAAAAGCATTAATCTATTGCTTATTATCTTCGAAAAAAGTTTGCAATAAATATTTCTGTAAAACTTGTAACTTGTTAAGAGTAATTACCTCATAAAATTCAATGAATTTAAAATTTTTCTGGTTTTCACTAAGTGAATTGCATTTTCTTACTGCTTTCGCTATACACAGAAAACATGCATAGATGGACTTTCTAACAACTGCAAAGGATGCTCTTGGAAGCTAATGTTGGAAGAATGTGTTAACAACGGTTTTATCCACCTAATAATGACAGCTTACGTCACTATTGCATTGGTAAACATGTATATATATATATATATGTATGCATATATTTTATAGATATATATGTATATAAACATCTATGTATGTGCGTATATATATAATTGGAGCTCCGGTTGTTGCACATTAAAAAAAAGATGATAAATTTAATTTCCCATTGTTTAGTGATGGGTGCAGAACAAATTTTTTTTTTTTTTTTATTTCTCCGCAAGATAAAAATAGAATTCCACTATATTTTTATAAGAAATTATCTCATTAAGAGAAAATTTTTATACATTTAAACAAGTAAGAAAATTAGACTCGGCTATGACCGAATCTTTTATACACAACCGCCAACAAGTTTTGTCTAAAAAAAAAAAAAAAACAAAATAAATAACTTTCTATACTCTATAATATTGAGTGGGCGTGGCCGCTTTTTTCCATCCTGGAAATTTGTATCGTATGTCTCCGTATGTATTATGAGTAATTAGCAAAAAGTCGGGAAAGCAAAGTGTCCTTAGTTTATTTTGTATTGTAGGCGTGTTCATGAACTGATTTGAACGCTCTTTCAACACCAAACTGCTTGCAAGAACTTTCAATGTTTCTGCCAGATTTAAAGCCAATAGCTTAATTTTTGTGGCCATAGGAAGACATTACATAGACGGACAGAGGGACACACTTAAATCTATTCGAAATACATATACTTTATGGGATTTTTGAAGCATCCTTCTCGGTGTTGCAAATGCTTTAACAAACTGAATATATCATCATCATATGCTGGTGAATATAAAAAAAAAAAAAAATTTTTTTTCTATAAACTACACTCTCTAAAACGAATCAAAGTAGTAGAAAAGCTGGAAGCTTCTGTAAAAAGTAATTGAAATTAAGAACGAATGTATAAGCTATTATTTGAGTAAAGACGCATACACATACAGATAACACGCATACTCTTTATTCATGCAAACTCATTATTTTTCTAAAAAATTAATTTAAGAAAACATTTGGAAATAACAAAAACTTAGTCTGGTTTGGTTGCGCCGAATCTATTACACCCATCCATATTAAATCAATACAAAAGAATGACAAAATGTTTTATTCATTGTCACTATGTTGTCAGAGCAACTTTTATTGCGATTTTTTTAGATAACTCCGAGAATAACTTATATCAATCTTTACGTTATTATTTGCATGATAGTTCCATTAAAAGTAGTTACTTTAAAAGTCTTATACTACTTTGCTAGATGGCAAGTTCGACATCGTTAATGTAATCATGGATCAATTCCACTCATGATTTCCATTAATGTAAAACCCCTTTAAAAACCTGATTAATACCAAGCGCCCCAAATCCCCAGTTCTTTATTTTATTTTTCTGAGATTGGATACTCTCAGGTATAGTGGACAAAGAAGCCAAAGTAGGCTAAGCCTTTTGAATTACAATATTCTTATATTGATAAAACATTGGCAATGTTGTGCCATCTCCAGGATTTTACAGCTGAAAGGGCTATGCCATCAAAATAACTCGAATGATTTTGGTATTATTTGAGT